GAGGCTTTCTACTCCCGTAAAGATTTACACCCTCGGAAACCCTGTACAGGGTCGCTATGGGTCGGAACCGACTCGATGGCACATAACAACAACAACAACATATAGTATAGTTATCAATGCACCCATACAGAGTAGCACTTCCCTATGTCAAATACCTATATAAGAAAATGATTTTCAATGACTTCAAAGTATTTCATTATGCGTCATCATAATTTAATCCATTTCTGTTGGCTATCACAGCTTCATGACTTGATTTTTAAAACGTTTTACTATAAACTGATACAAACAAGATCATCAGTTTTACATTCAGCAAATCAAACCCTTTTTTCATCTCAGTGGTTGCAATCCCCTCCCTGCAACAACAGTTCTCCAGCTTCTTCCTGTGGCTTCTATTTGCTTTCCACCTTCTCATTCCTTCTCAACTTTGTCCTGAGGTAAATGTTGCCCTTTTGATTTGCAACGATTGGCCATTCCATGGTGACCATGCCTTAATAGTGTTGTTTTCTCTCCTATATACTTATTAAAGTACAGTAAAGAAATGTATTCATTTACAGTTGAATTTGAATTTCAGATACACAATGAATTATTTTTTAGATATGCATTACATAGTATTATGTGGGACAAACTTACATTAAAAATTGTTTATTGTCTGTCTGACATTCAAATTTAACTTTAAAAAATGGACATTTAGTAGCTTGTTCCAAGAAGCAAAGTGGTACACCAACAAAGTTGCCTTGCCTTTAGTGGTGTTTTTTTGTTTTGTTTTGTTTTTTACTGATATGAGACTTTACTGTGCAATTTTGTTCCTTACTGAACATGCTTACTGGAAAGAATTCTGCCTATATTGTTTCTTCCTATTTAAAATAAATCTTGTGGCAAAAAATAAACTAAGAAGAGAAAGAATGTGAAGAAAAGGAAAGAGCGCTCAACAGCCAACCCTCTTGATCAGTATTAATCACTGAATATGAACGACCATTAGATAGGAATACTGGGAACTGATAACTGATACATTTCTTTCATTGCCTGCACAGGTTTGAAACATTGCAGTGTCTAAGTTGTCAGGTAGACAGTCAACATGATGCTAAATACAGTCTTTCTGTGCTTTTTTGTGACTTACAACGGAAAGGACTCCTTCATTTTATAAGACTACCTGTTCATCAGTATTTATTTACTACCAGCTTTCATGTAGAACATTGGTGCAGATACTTTTGTTACTGCAAATAAACCAGATTCATGGATGCAGAGTTGATTCCAACTCACAGCAACTCTGTGCACTGGTGTTGAACTGAGCTTCATAGTATTTTCTTAGCTATGATTTCTATTTCTATACCATACTCTTTCCCATACCTTCTCAACTTTGTCCTTAGGCAAATACTGTTCTTTTATGATTGGCCATCCATGGTGTGTAGACCTTACTAGTATTGTTATCCCTCTATATACCTATCTACTGCCTGGCTAAAAGTTGGGCCCCAAGGATAAGTTCCTTTCCAGAACTGAAGGAAGGTAGACGACCCTAGCCTCGAATTCTTCCAGTCTCTTTCTGACCAGTCTTTAATTTTGAGTTTTGTTCCACATTTTCTCCAACTCTATCCAGGACCTTCTAATGTAATTCCTTTAGAGCAGCAGAAATTAACTTTTTTAAAGTCTAAATTTATCTTCCTATTATATCTATATCTAAGCTCTTTATTAATTACAAAAAAAAATGAACTTACATTATCCAGCTTTGGTTTTAAAATGTTCTAGATAAATTTCAAAATACATTTTCCTCATGAAAGATCCAACTATACCTTCTCTTATAGCTGTGCAGGGTGCACCCTCTTCGTGTTCCAATCGGATCTCTTTTAATGCCACCAAATTCTCTGTCAACTTACTTCTGCCTTTATATACAGTTGCATATGTACCCTATAAAACAAATTTTGAAAGACACACCAGAAGAATCATGAGTATCCATCTATACAAACTATGGTAAAGAGCCCTACCTAAATTGCTAAACAGATGCTAAATTCCATTTTGCAAAGATTATCAATCTTGATTTTCTTATAGCTAAGAGGAATTTCAGTTCTGCGTGCACAGCTTCAGTACTCTTATAACTCTATATTCAAAAGTATAGAAACATAAGGATATAATTTATTTACTTTTTATACTTACTTTAGACTAATAATTAGATCACCAGTACAAAAAATATTTTACTTGCAATGGTGTGTGGAGACTGAAGAAAACTTGAGTATATTATTGGGAAATTTTAAATATAACTAATGTTTTGTAGAATTATAAAACTTCCATCCAGGTTTCCAGACTTTTAGACTCTTTGTACATCAAATAAGTGTTCATTAAAAATAAGCCACTGTCCCTTCTGTTTTCGCCAACTTAGCCTTTGAGTTTCCTCAAGACTCCCCTACTACTAATTCTATGATAACTTTTTTGTCCTTTCTCACCTTGGGAGACAGGCTATTTCAACATTAGTCAGAACTATGTAAGTCCTGATGTGGTGCTGTGGACTAATACACTGGAATGCAAAGTCATTTTCAATCGCAAGGTCAGTGGTTCAAGCTCACCAGTTGCTCCTCCGAAATCCTATATACAGGGTTGCTATGGGTTGGAACAAACTCAATGGCACTTAACAACAACAACAAAAAGTGTAAGCTCTGGTAGCGAAATGGTTATAAGTCAGGCTGCTAATCTCATGGTCTGCAGTTCAACACTATCAGCGGTTCCGCAGAAGAAACATGAGACTTTCTGCTCCTGCGAAAGATTTACAGCTTTGGAAACTTTATACAGGGCCGCTATGGGTCAGAACCAACTCCATGGCACATAACCACCACCATCACTAGTTTAAGTTCAAAGATACCAAGGTATTATCAGCCAAGAATTTCCATGACTTTTAAAGAGAAATGATTTTATTCTTAAAGACAGTATTTTAAATTTTCATTTATTTGAACTCATGCCATTTCCTACATGACAGAACAGCAGACTGCCAGAAGCTAACTGACAAATTGATGTCTATTTCGTTACCAAGAAAGCAAAGTACTTTGTGCTTTAATAAAAGAGTACAAAGTTATCTTTAAAAAAAAAACTCGCTTCCTTTCAAACTCATGCAGTAACTTCAAGAATTGAAGGCTTTTTTCCTTCTAATTATCTGTTGTCATGAGTACGGGTATGGTGGTGTTGGTTAATGTGTTGGACTGCAAAGTCCCCTGGATCAAGTTCACCAGCTGCTCCTCAGAAACCCTATACAAGGTCGCTATGGGTAGGAACCTGATTTTACAGCACTTAACAACAACATCTGTTGTCATCTCAGAACAAGATACAATCTTTCAGAAATATTTTTTTCCTAGGTTAGCAAAACTTGTACATTAATAGAGAGATTTAGATAAAGAACAAATGATAAAAAATGCCATATATTTCTTTTTTTCAAATTATTTACTTACCTCTCCAAGCTTTTCCAATTTGATGTAGGTTTCCATTTTTCCAAACCCAATTTCTGACTATAATGAAAACAAACAATTATAAATTTAGTGCTTATTCTTAAATTTTCAATAAGACTTCTCAACTTCTAAAACTAAACATAGTTGGACTGAAGTATTTTAGAATAGAAAAATCTGATGATAATAAAATTTTGGAACACCTGACAAGTTTTAAAATATATTGTTAGAATATTTAGCAGTTCAAACTCTCAGCGTTCATAATTAAAATGATCAATCCATCTTTTATACAGATCAAGTAAACACTGTTCTACGAAAAAATTTAAGAGCTTGAATTTTTCAAATACTAAAGAATCTTAAAAAAAATTTCTTTCCATCAAAACTAAAAAATATTTTCTTATATATTTTACCAGCTTTTGAGTTCCCTAGGAAAATTTACAAGCCATTCAAGTTTCCCAATGAAAACATAATGAATACAACAACCACTAAAAGCATACTCTGTTATGCATCAGGAAATAAGCAACGTAAGTCTAATTCTTGACAGCCCCCACTCCTTTAAAGTGAATTCTCAAAGTCTCTGCTTTTAAACCTTGAACTTATTTGGTATGGAGTCAACTAATGAAACAAATGGAACACACCCAAATACATAACCAAAAGTCAGTATTGAAAAACTGAAACAAATAAAAAGCATGAATGATTTAGGAATAAAGGGGGGGAAGCAGATATTGATGGGAAGTTAGGGACTACGAAATCAGAAATAGAAAAAAAAAAAAAAAAAACAGGTAAACAAACAGAAAAAAAGTATTCGTTTTCTTAATAGCCAAACTTGAATGGCCAAAACTAAGAGAGGGCCCTCAGAAAGAATTGTTTTTATCTTTTGTTACAATGATCATTATTGTTGTTGTTAAGTGCCTTCAAATCGGTTCTGACTCATAACAACCCTGTATAGGGTTTCCAAGGAGCCGATGGTGGGTTTGAACTGCTAACTCTGTGATTCAAAGTCCAGAGGGTAAATCAAAATGTATAGTTACAAAATTATAGAAAACCCTTATTACCAAACACATCAAATTGTGAAGCTATTGTTTCTTAACATATCCTCCATCTAAGTCTAAACCCTTCTGAAGGTGTTTCCATCTCTCTGAACATTCCATGAAGTATTCTTACGATTTGCAACTTACACCATTTCAAAACGGCAATTTGGCATTCTCAAATTGTGTTCCTCAAAAATTTTCTTTGCGTTTGTAAAAGAAAAAGAAGTCTGAAGGGACAAGAGCATGGCTGTCAGGTGGATGGGGTTAAAGTTTCCCACTTTAATTCTTAGAAGACTTTGCTGTCTTCGAAGAATGAGCAGGTGTATTTAAAAAAAAACAAAAAAAAAAAACCCTTGGAACAAATTTCCTGGATTTTTACTCATCGATGAGGTTTCAATTTTCTTAATATTTCTTCATAATAAGCCCTTGTGATCATTTACTTACATCTTGCATGGACTACACAATATGTGTAGTCCATGCAAAATTTAAGGAGCTCTGGTAGTGTAGTGGTTACAAATCGGGCTGCGAACCGCAAGGTCAGCAGTTCGAAACTACCAGCTGTTCTGCGAGAGAAAGATGAGGCATTCTGCTCCCGTAAAGATTTACAGCCTTGGAAACCCTGTACGGGTCGCTATAAGTTTGAACAGACTCCACGACACACAGCCACCACCACCACCACACATATAGTCAGGAGGGACCAGTCTCTGGAGAAGGATATCATGCTTGGTAAGGTGGAGGGTCAGAGAAAAAGAGGAAGACCCCCAATGAGATGGACTGGCCAAGTGACAGTATCAATGGACTCAAGCGTGGCAATGGTAGTGAGATTGGCCTAGTCAGGCAGTGTCTCATTCTGCTGTGCATAAAGCCGCTATGAGTCGGTACCGACTCAATGGCACCTAACAACCACAACAAACCTGTTTCATGTATGAACTGGAATCCTAGCAGCAATACTTTGACTAACCATTGCATAGCATATTAAAGGCCATATGGAAAACTGGATGTCAAGCAAAAGGATTCCATTAGGATAAGGAAACAAAAACTATGGTCACAGGTAGTATAATTACTGAATGACTGACAAAGTGCTGCCTTTTATACTCTTAATCATTTTTCCTAGGTGGAAAAGGTTTTTCCCTACATGTGAACATTTTCCCCCATAAAATTTTAAATTAAAAAATGAAGCTTTAGAATCATCACACCATCCACCAAAATATTTTCTTGCAAATATTTCAAAGATAATAGGTACTTACTGTCTATTATCAACTACTATGCCACATAACATTTCCAAATACAAATGGGAAAAATATCAGTCTATTCTCTGGTATAAGACAGTATAATTCAGAAAAACCTTTTAGTTATGTGTTTTTCATAGTCCATTTACATATGGTTTTAAGTAACTGGTACTTAAAAAAGGATAACTGCCAAGGTCACAGAAGCTATAACAGAATGTATTTATTTTCTTATGCAATGATTTCTGGAATTCAATTAATAAATTTATAAATCTGGAACAACTGTAATTTCATCATGAATTTCTAGTCTTGTGAAGGAAAATTGAAAATAAGTGGAAACCAGTATGAACAAAACTAAAAGCCCTGAAAAAGATAAAATTGTTATCATCTATAATACTGAGAAAGGAGCACTGTGGCACTACAGGTTAGGAATTGGGCTGCTAACGTCAAGGCCAGTGGTTCAATCCCACCAATACGATTGCTGTATAAGGACTGGACTGCTAGCCACTCTGCAGGTGAAAGATAAAGTTGCCTGCTCCCACAAAGATTTACAGCATCGGACACCCAGAACAGGGTCACTCTGAGTCGCGATCACCTCAATAGCAGAAAAAACACGATAGCAATGGGTTTGGTTTCTGTTTTGAGTTTATAACATTGAGAAGCACTTGGGAATATTTGACTGTAAGCTAGAAACTTCCTTAGAATAGGGAATTTATCTTTTTATCTTAACTGGATACTTTGTTGTTGTTGTTGGGTGCCATCGAGTCAGTAGTGACTCATAATGACCCTATGCACAACAGAACGAAACACTGCCTTATCCTGGGCCACCCTCACTACTGTTGCCACAACTGACCCCACTGATGCTACCACTTTGCCAATCCATCTTGCTGGGGGTCTTCCTCTATTTATCTGACCCTCCACCTTACCAAACATGGTATCCTTCTCCAGTGACTGGTCCAGCTCCTGACAATAAGTCTGAAGTATGAGAAATGAAGTTTGGCCATCCTGGCCTCCAAGGAGCACTCTGGCTGAACTTCTTCCAACACAGAGCTGTTAGTTCTATTGGCGGCCCATGACACTTTAATGTTCTCCTCCAACACCATAATGCAAATCTGTCCATTCTTCTGCAGTCTTCCTATATTCATTGCCCAGCTTTCACATGCATATGAGGTTATTGAAAATACCATGGCTTGGGTCAGGCGCACCTTAGTCCTCAAGCTGACATCTTTGCTCTTCAAAACTTTAAAAAGGTCTTGTGCAGATTTGCCTAATGCAATACGTTGTTTGATTTCTTAACTGATGCTTCCATAAGTGTTGATAGTTGATCCAAGAAGAATGAAGTCGTTGACAACTTTAATCTTTTCTCCGTTGATAAGAATGTTTATTGATCCAGCGGTGAGGATTTTTGTTTTCTTTACATTGAGATGTAATCCATACCGAAGACTGTGGCCTTTGATCTTCATCAGTAAATGTTTTAAATCCTCTTCACTTTCATCAAGCAAGGTTGTATCATCTGCATATGGCAGATTGTTAATGAGTCTTCCTCCAATCCTGATGCGTTTTTCTTCACAGAACCCAGTTTCTCGGATTATTTGCTCAGCAAACAGGTTGAATAAGTATGGTGAAAGAATATAACCCCATCACACATCTTTCTTAATTTCAAACCATTCAGTGTTCCCATGTTCTGTTCGAACAACTGCTTCTTGGTTCCACATGAGCACATATTCCACATGAGCACAATCAAGTGTTCTGGAATACTCATACTTTGCAATGTTGTCCATAGCTTGTCATGATCCACACAATCGAAAGCCTTTGTGTAGTCAATAAAGCAAAGGTAAACAACTTTCTGATATTCTCTGCTTTCACCCCAGATCCATCGGACATCAGCAATGATATCCCTTGTTCCGCGTCCTCTTCTGAATCTGGCTTGAACCTCTGGAAGTTCTCTGTCAGTGTATGCTTGCAGCTGTTTCTATATTACCTTTATTAAAACTTTACTTGCATGGGAGATCAAAGAGATTGTCCGGTGACTTCCACATTCTGTTGTGTCACCTCTCTCAGGAATGGGCACAAACACGGATCTCTTCCAATCAGTGTGCCCCCAAAACATCAGATACTCCTTATTCCAATGGTGACTAAGACAAAATGCTGAGGTTTGCTTTAAAGAGTATATAAACCAACTACAAACTAAAGATTATAAAGATGAAAATGCTATAGAGATTACCAAATGTATCATAATAGTATACAGTATGTAAGGGATCAAGTGTTTAATGGAAATATCAAAATTTTAACATTACAAAGAATCACTCTTTAGAGAATGAAATTAAATGACATCATTAAACTATGCTAAAACTCTTTTATAAAAAGAAAGACTATATGGTACTATAATTCTAAGGTTAAATTTAAATTTGAATAATGGGTTAATAAAGCAAATAGAATAACCGAATTCCACTCATGCAGACAGGCGGAGAATTCAGACAAAAGGCAAAGCTACCCTAGTGAATTGTCTGTCAGAATTCAATTCAAAGAGTAAAGCACTCTCACCCAACATCCCCCCCGCCCCCAGCCGCCCCTTTTTAACAATTTCCAACTTTGAGGATTTAATAATTACATCCAAATATTACTTATTGGATTTTTAAATGGAATTTTTAGAAATTTTGTTTGCATTTTTATCTGCTGAACATGACAAGATTAACAATAGATATAATGACTAGCTTTGTTGACACGCTCTCCTACAGAAATTATTCAGAGGACAAAGGACAAAGCTAGCTTATTCAACATTTACCAAGTACAAGCTAGGTGCTGG